CTTATTTTCCAAAGCATTCGTCTTGATAGTATTTCTGATTATGATCGACAGTCGTACTATTTTTGCGGATTTAGTATATTAATGGTTCAAGTTATACAATTTTTTGTAGACTGTTTTTTTTTTGTTGTATGGCAACTGATGAGAAGCTCAGTTTTGCCTTTGTATTGCGGAGGCAAATTGTGCGTTTTTTAAATGTGTTTTGGATTTAAAGATAGCTAATTTGGGCCTGTCGTGAGCCATTCTTCCGCAGACATGGACACATTTTTTGCATGCTATGTTGTTTAGATTCATCTGAAAAGCACTTTTTTTAAACGTCCAGATCCATTTCGCGTACTGTAATATACCATTTTTATTTTCTCTGCTGACATGGATCTTGGTCTTTTCGGGAGCTTTTATGAAAACTTCTACGAATGTTTGTTTAAAATTAGTTTCTTGAATCAGATTCGTGGTTTTCGTCCTAATTTCCGTCGGTTCATTTTACGTGTTTTAAAAAGCCATTTCGATTTTTTGTAGAGATTTTTCGCGGCTTATTTTCTAAAGCATGAATTTCATTTTGATTTAAATGGTTTTAACTATAATTGAAAGTTCAGTAATTTGTAAGTTTACAAAGTCTGATTTTTATAATCTATTATATATTTAAATGCGGGCTTCACTATCTCGCCATGTTTAAGCTTTTTGAACGTTTTATTTTTGCATGTTTAACAAAAGAATTTTTGCAAGTTCAAGCTATATTGTACATTGCAATGGTTAAGACTTTTTCGATTTTTCAGTTTAAATTCAGTGTTATTTCATCAAGTTTGAAATTAGCAACCTAATAGTGGGATGTTGTCAGGGTTTTCCCAGGTTTTGCGATTCTGGCCTCCATATATGAATAACCAAATCCTTTTAGTTTACGATGCGGCAATTTTCGAGATTTTTCAAAAATTTCTAGAAAATATAATTTTATAAAAAATTTCTCAATTTTTGAAATCCTCACCCAGTAGTTGGTGCTGTCAGGGGTTGTGAATCTTGCCTCCAAAACTCACTTCTCAAATAGTTGTAGTTTTTTATGACATAGATTTTAAAAATCTAAAATTTGATGAAGTTGTCAATCCTGTTATTGGAAATTGTGAGGGTACTCTCAGGAGTTGTCAATTCGGCCTTCAAATATGACTGCTCGAAACCTTGTAGTTTTCCAGATATGACGTTTTTTGTGCTTTTTAAAAAAAAATTCAGAAAACTTAAATTTAATTTTTTCTTAAAAATTTGAAGATCACAAGTCTGTAGTGGGGTCTGTCAAAGCGGTATCAGGTTCTCAGGGGTTGCGAATCTTGCCTCCAAATATGAGTGCTCAAATCTTGATATAATGTTTTTTGTGTCATTTTTTCAAAAAAAGTTCTGGACTTGAATTTAATTTTTTCTTAAAAATTTGAAGATCTTAAGTTTGTAGTGGGGTCTGTCCGAATGGTCTCAGGCTTTCAGGGGTTGCGAATATGAGTGCTTAAATCTTGTTAGTTTTTCAGATATGACGTTTTTTGTCATTCTTTTTCAACAAAAAACCCGAAAACTTGGAATTGAACCTCTTTTTTCAAAATATGAAAGTCCTTACCTGCAGTTGGGGGCTGTCAAAGTAATCTCAGGGGTGGCGAATTTGGCTTGCAATTCGGATTGCCGAAATCTGTTCAGTCTACAAGATACGACGATTTTTGTGATTTTTTCAGAAATTTTCCGAAAATTCAAATTACAAAATAAATCACAAAGTTGAAATTCCCAACCCTGTAGTTGTGTGCTGTCAAAGTACTCTCAAGGATTGGGTATATTGCCTTCAAGTAAGATTGCTCAAATCTTAGTAGTTTTTGAGGTGTGACGTTTTTTCTGGTTTTCAAAAAAAGTATCTTTTTAGAAAACTTCGAGGGGGCGGTCAAAGTAATATCAGAGGTGGCGAATTTGGCTTCCAATTAAGAATGACCAAATCTGTTCAGTTAACAAGATACGACGATTTTTGTGGGTTTTTCAAGAAATTTTCAGAAAACTCAAATTACCAAATAATTCACAAACATGGAAATTCCCAACCCTGCAGTTGTGTGCTGTCAAAGTATTGTCAAGGATTGGGTATATCGCGTTCAAATAAGACTGCTCAAATCTTGGCAGTTTTCTATGTGAGATGTTTTTACTGGTTTTCAAAAAAAGTATCTTTTTTAGAAAACTTAAGGTTGAAGTTTCTCAAATTATGAATTTCGCAACGTTGTAGTTGGGCACTGTAAAAGTACTCTCAGGAGTTGCAAATTTTGCGGCCAAATGCAACTGCTCATTTGCTTTTAATTTCTGAGAAGTGACGTTTCTTAGTTCCTTTTAAATTTCTCAAAGAACTTATATAAAACTTCACAAAAATTTATGGTTTTTCAAAACTTGTATTAAAAAACTTGAATAAAAAGCTTTGCAAAATTTGTAATTACGAACCCTGTAATTTGGTGCTGTCAGAGTACACTCAAAGGATTCAGATATTATTTCCAATATATGCGGTTTTTATGAGTTGTTAAGATTTCGAAGCACCGGAGGTGCGTTACACGCTAGTCTTACTTACTTCCCTTGCAATAAGCGAGGGTATTGCAATCTGGTACTAGACTTTTCCGTAAATAATTTTGTTCACAGAATGGTCAATTTTAGTAACAATGGTAAATTTCACAACTGCTGATATGCAGACTGCTGATATGCTCAATTTCTTAAATAAATATACCATCATTTAGGAATTAGGGAAGTTCGTTTCAGGTAATAGCTTTTTTTGCAAATAAATTTCGTTAAAAGATTTCATTTTCGTGGTTTCCGACGGAGATTCCGTCGGCTCTTTTTTCACTTTTTAAAATGCAATTTGTTTTATCTGTTTTTTTTTTTGGCTTTACTTCCAAAGCAGAGTTTTTTTATTGGCTTAAACAGGTTTATCACGATTGAAAGTTCTGTAATTTATGATTTTTTTGTTTTTTTTTCGATTAAACGGTTTCGGCTTATGTTTTTTCAGCTTAGTCATGTTATTTAGCGTAATTTCGAGGTTAAAATATATTTTCATCTGTTAATGTGTTTTGTAAAAACGTTTAAAACTGTATAACTCAAAAATTTTTCTGGACACCGTTTTTTTCCGGCTCAAATTCTTCTCTTTCTTATTCTGTTCTCTTTACAAATCTTTTATTTAATGTTGAACCATAACATCTCGGCCGCACTTTTTTTTTCAGTTTGTGTGCCATTGAAAAAATGTTTGGTTAAAATTAAATTGTCGGACTTTCGTTTGTTTGCTCAAGTTTTGTCAGCTAAGTAGCCACATCACGGATTTTGCCTGTGCTGTAAGCAACTTTCATTGCTAGTGCAAAATCATTTTTGCTCGGCTCAACTGGTGTTTGCTCAAAGATTGCCGTCGTAGTTGCTAAATTACTGATTTTTCTTGTGCTCTAAGTGCAAGTATTGCTCATGCTAGTTTCAGGTGGGACTTAAAACCTGTATATTTATTTATATAATCATATTTTTTTGGAGCAACTTGTGTTTGCTCAAAGATTGTCGAATTTGTTTCCTCGTTGTAATTTTTGTTCCGTTGCTAGTTCTTTTTTTGGGATTTTGCCTGGAATGAATTATGTTTTTGATGTTATTGTTGCATTGCAAGTAGCGCGAAGCTCCTCTTACCTTTTTTTTGGGTTGTGTCGGTTAAACAGTTTCGGTTTATGTTATATCAACTTAGTCTACTCATTAAAACACTAAATATGGCTCAGAGTGGACTTTCTAGCCCTGCTCTCTGCTTCTCAGAGCCCTGATTTTCTGTTTTTCTGCTCTGATTTGGGTGTTGAAAGGAGTCTTCTTCAGGAATATTTAATCCCAAGCTGGTTTGCCTATATGCGATAGCAACACTTGCAACCAGATACAAGACCTTTTTGCCGTTCACAGGACTCAGCTCCTGGACTCATCTCCCCTTCTGTTGGAAATACTGCAACAGACTTAATTTGAGCGTTTTGACATATCCGTCCTATTCGAAGTTTGTGCCAACTCGATATATTAAAGTTTCATGTGTTTTGAGGCGGAGGTGGACTTAAAAATTTATAATAGTTTTAATCTTTTTGATTTTTTTTGGGCTTAATGGGTCCTGCTCAGCTATTTTTAGCTTTGTTGCTGCGGCTTTGTTGTTTGTATTGCGAGTGGCGCGAAGCTTCGCCTCTGTGTACGATATTTTGATCGCTGATTAGTTTCTTATAGTTACTTAGAAAAGCCATTGAACTGTTTCACAGATTAAGGTCCACCGAATAAGATGTTACTTGCTTTTATAACTTTGTTGTTCCGACCATTCAAAAATGGGGAGGATCTTTGAATTCGGGTGTTTTAGTTTTCTTCTTTTTGTTTGCCACGCAAAATCAGGTACCAATAATAAACATCGGAATGGGTCGTGTTATATATCATATTAAAGTTCTTTTAGTCGTTAAAATTTTTTTTTCTCTGTGTCGAGAAAAACCGGTTTTGAATTTTTAATTTTAGTCTAATTTTGAGCTAATAAGGTGAGCCTGCAGGCTTAAAACAGCTTATTTATGCCTAATTAAGCCGTGAAAACTTAATTTCACTCGAGTTAAATTGGTTTTGGAAGATTTTCAGCGCCGTTTTGGGAATCAAAAACTTCAACAAATTTCTGCAAAAATTATGATTAAAAAAAAAATTTACGATGTAATTTCGTATTTCTTATTTTCTTACTTCTTTATTTTTTAGGTTTTGGTCGGAACATTCTATGCTGCTTGCACAGTAACCGACTATTCTTGTTTTATTTTGAATTTGGATTTTATAACTGGTTTTCTTGAAACCGGAAAAAGCGTACCTTTGTTTATTGAAAAGTATTTCATATATTTTTTTGGCGTGGAATTTTTGTCACATCTTGACTTTTTAACAGCCTAGTAATGAAGCGGTAGCTGTGGCTTAATTAGAATTATCAACTTTTAACAAGGGCATTATTTCTGCGAAGAGTACCGTAAAATTTTCGAATAGTTTTATATCTCACTTTAAAGATGCAAAATGGAAATGGATCAGATTCACGACTGTTTTGCCCACCACTCAGAACAATGGGTGTATCTTAACAAGGGCCAGAATTTTGCTGCTTTTCTCTGTCCATCTCACGAAATAGTGTACAGTTTTGTCATTCGGAAGAATGGCCAACTTACGTACATGCGACAACGTATGGCGTTCTGTGAAGAAGTTTTACTTCGAATCTTTCCAGAAATCGTCAGGTTCGAGCCAGATAATTTTAAAATCGCGAAAACGAATTCTATAACTAATTTGGACTCTGTGCTGCAACTCCTGGAAAGTAAAAGTAGTGCGACGATTACAAACAGAAAAGAGTTTGCTGTCAATATCAACCTGAGTACTTGCGTTTACCGAAAAACAGTTGAGCTGCGGCCATTTGAATGTGTCTCAGCGAAATCATCAGTTTTCTCCGTGGAACTGAAACCGAAATGTGGATTATTCAACATTGAAGTTGATGATAATTTTCCGGAGCTCAGCTCTTTGACAAGACATAAGCTGCTTCTATTCAATCGTATGAAAGGTCATGATATCAAAATAGACTACTTATATGATCCGGCGGAATTGTTTTCAGGCGATTCTCAAACACAAGTTGATTGTGTATCAAATCTGATGAAGCATGGATCGAAATATTTGAAGCTTTATTTTAACTCGTGCAGAATGGATATAGATTCACTTCAAGATGAGATGACAAATGACTCTTCGTTTAGATTTTCAATCAGCGACCTGTCAATTCTTATTGCTGAAGCTCTAAGAAACTCTGGCGTTTTGAATCTGCTCAGAAAATGGCAGATTATGGGGACGATTTCTGTGAGTAAAGTTAGAGACATTTTAAAAGGAGACCCATTTCTAGTGGAAAGTCTTGAACACTCATCTGTTGACTATGGTTGCTTCAAGACGTTAATAAAAAAGCTTGAATTAGTGAATTTGGAGAAGAAATCTGATATGGTTAGTTTCGTGAAATCTTTGGATTCTGCTGATTACGTCCGTTTGTATCTGCTTGGAGCCTCGGGAGCAGACGTCTCGGTGTTTCTCAGTTTTATAAATAGTCGTGACTGTGTTAGTCAAGTTATCAGTGATGATATTTCGAAGTCCAGAAATATCGCTATGATTGAACTGAAAGGGTCAAAGCTGTTGTACTCTTGTAATCTGATCGATGTTGATTTCAAAGGAGCCAAGAATATCGAGAAGCAGTTCAATGAGCTTGAAGGTGCCGCAAAATACTGGAGGCGTGTATAATTACACGCATTGTAAATATAAACTCGGCTTAAGTATTATATCTCGAGTTCGAGACTGCAAATTCGAACTGTAAGTTGAATTTTCCTCTCAACTAGCTGAAGGAAAACAGCGGAGTCTATTTTGGTCGATGGATCTCCCTAGGACTTGTCTCATTTTGGCTTGCCTCTGTTTTTGGCTAGTTGAGTGTGTTGAGCATTACTTGATGCAAAGCTGGAATCTGTATCGGTCTGATAACCCTAAAGAAGTTTATACGAACATTACAATTCCCACATACGTGCATCTAGAGCTTCTTTCACGTGATATTATTGATGATCCTTATTTTGGATTCAACGATTTGAACTACAGGTGGATTCCGGAATCAAACTGGACGTTCTGGTTGGAGTTTGATGTTGGTTTTGGCACCGAAGCTGATGATAACAATTTGTTCTTGGTCTTTGAGGGAATTGACACCGTTGCATCTGTGACCTTGAATGGAATTTCATTAGGAGCAACAGACAACCAGTTTCGTTCATGGGTGTTTCCTGTTGATTCTCTGAGTAGTTCGGGTAATCTTCTAAGTGTCGAAATAGCTTCTCCTGTTGACTATGGAGCTATACGTGCTAAGCAGTATCCCTATCTAGTTCCGCAAGTGTGTCCCGTTGAAAGCTACAGAGGCTTTTGTTACTTCAACTTCATCAGAAAAGATGCATCTTCATTCAGCTGGGACTGGGGACCTGGATTTGCTCCTCAGGTGAGGAAAAAATTATCTTTGACTGCCCTTTCTGGAATATTGCTTTTTTTTCTCAACCTTAAGCAACCGGTAATGTGAACGCTTAGTTGAAAAGCATTATTTAGGTAATTTTCCAGCTTCTTAATGATTTTTTGACTGTTTAGGGTTTGTGGAAGCCTGTATACGTTCGAGTTGTTTCCAAAAAAGACATGCCAATCAAAGGTGTGTCTATCAATCTCTTCAAGAGTGCTTCTCGATGGACTGTCAACACTTCTGTATTTTCTCTGAACACCTCGTTTCCTGGGTCCTTCATTAAACATTGCAGTGACAGCCTGCTAATTACATTTTCAATTAATGCTCTCGATTTACAGATGCAAAGCAAAGCGGCTTGGTCCTCGGATGGAAATAGAATGACAGCTAGTTTCTTTGTTCCGGAAGAACTTCCTGTCAAACTCTGGTGGCCGAACGGTTTCGGAATGTCAAATATGTACAATGCTACTTTTGAGTTGTCTTGTCCTGCCTACAAAAGCAGCTTTTATACTACAAAAATTGGCTTCCGAGAAGTTGAATTGGTCCAGGACCCAATATTCGCTCAAAATAGTACTCAAGCCGGGAATTCATTCTACTTCAAAATAAACGGAGTCCCGATATTTGCCAAGGGCACGAACTGGATTCCACCAGATGCTTTCCAGACCAGAGTGTCGAAAGAGAAGTTGCGGTATCTGCTGAACTCTGTTAAAATTGCAAACATGAACATGCTTCGGGTTTGGGGTGGAGGAGTCTATGAATCGGATGAGTTCTACGATATAACTGACGAGTAAGTTTTAGTATTTAGTACCTAAAATAGAGTCTGTAAAAGTAATTTTCTGGGATTACGAGTATCGCTTTCTCATAAACGATGTCTGCAGTAGCTGACTTAGGGGAAGGGGGGAGGGTGAGATATTTTTTTCCTGGCCAATCAAAGGGTTCCCCTTTGTTACAGTTTTACTATTCATTTTACTATCGATTTTTTACCTTCCATTTTTTCTATTTTACCATCCAATTTTAGACGAATAACACCAAAAATTTTGCTAAAACCGCCTGTGAGGATGGAAAACTGGCCGAAAATAAAACACCGCGCATTTATCTTATATTTTTTCTCTGTAGTTACTCTGACCAGAAGAAGTAAAATTAATGTAGGTCAATTATGGGTTCACATTACGTAATACCCGATTCCCCCGTGTATTTATTACCCTTGCGATAAGCAAGGGTATTGCAATCGGGTACTTGACTTTTTCCCGTAAACAACTTTTTTCACAGGACTGATCTCTTGGAGCCTGGACTCTCCCTCATTAGATTTATTATGAGTTCAAATTCAATCAACTGTTCTGGCGTAAATGTAACACATCTGCTTAAGACGGCAAATGATTGTGGTTCAAATCCGGCCGGAACCTGTTTTTGCAAACTTGAGTTTTGTGCTTTTTCGGACTATAGTCCGTCTGTTTATTTTTGACGGCTTAGTTTCCGTAGCCCGATTTTTTGAAGGTTCAGCTTTCTTCTAAGTTGCGGTATCATCCATGCCGGCAGTTCGATTCCAGTCGGGACTTGAAAGTTCGGGAAACTGAATATTTTTTAAGAGTAATGAACGCAGTGAAGACTCTTATATAGGTCTTGCTGATTTTTTTAAAGGAAAAATTCTTAAAATGGGCATCAAAGTCTCTAATAAGTACAGATGTGCATTCTTTTATATTGATGTATTTATGAAATGCACTTTGGTAGTTACGCAGTTTTTGAGTTCAATTGAAATTAATCTGCTGAGTGTGACTTGAATAGCACTCTCCAAATACGAACGTGGAAATGGTGCAAAAAAACGTGAACGATTTGTAGTTTCGAAAATGGAATTTAATTTGTAGATTTTCTGTGGAATAAAAACATTACGTATTGATCCAGTTTTCTCAAGTTGGGTTAATGCTATCAAAATGCTCCAATCATAAATCGTTGTGAAAATTCAAAGAACCTAAAGGGCATCTATTTTTTTTTTGAAATTCGAAAGTTGTGATTTTTTCCACAAAGTCAGTGTTTTTATTTATGTTTACTCTTCGATTGGCTAATTTGGATTTTTGTCTTTGCTTAATTTTGCCGGCTTAGTTCCCGCAGAAAGGACTTGTTTCAAAATTCAGTTGCTTCTTAGCATTTCGAAAGCTTTTGTTAAGTTTTTTTATGGTGCAGGCAATTTTTTTCCGCACCTTATGGGCTTTGCAATTTTTGTGACGAACGATTTTGAAGGTTTTTTTAGTTTTGATTTTTCTTTGCATTTGATTTTAATCACGGTTGATCATGTTTGTATCGCAAGTGGTGCGAAGCTCAGCTTCGCCTCTGTTGAGTTTTCCATCTTGGATAAACTGTGCCACGTTGATAGTTAATTAGAAGTCTTCATGTCAAAAAATTTTGATTTAAAAGTTAACAGATCAGTTTTTGTGTAAATTGATCCTACTTAACGAAGGTAATTATGTTTGTTTAGACTTGGTATAATGGTGTGGCAAGACATGATGTTTGCCTGTTCTCTCTACCCCGTGGACGACCTTTTTCTATACAATGTAGAAATGGAAGTGAAAGAGCAAATATACAGACTCCGAGGTCATCCGAGTGTGGTGATCTGGGCTGGAAACAACGAGAATGAAGGTTTATTTTTTTGTTTCATTCGGTTTCGTTTTAGAAGAGATGAAGCCGCGATATGATCCAATGAAACTGTGATACGAGAGGCTTATCTGCTTCCTTTTAAACCCTGTTAATCTCTTTGATGCTTTTTTCGCCATTATACAGTTTGTCTAAACTTAAACCTACTCTGGTTTTTGATTAAAACTAAAATTAAGCTTTTGATGGAGGAAAACTAAGTCATTTAAAAAGACTTTTTGGAGATGAGCGGTAGATGCTTGAGCATTTGCTATGCTGACGGATATGTGATCAGACTTGTGATAAGTGGATCTCCTAATTTTTTCCCCAACCTAAATTGCGGTACCATTGATTTCAATGAGTATTTGTTCCAGATAGAACTCTATTTCAGATAGACTTTTTATAATTGCAAAGAGACTTCTTATATAACGTTGGAGCCTGGACGGTTCCGATTGGAATTTTTGTCCTCTCAATTTTTATTTGAATAAAAAATATTATGTAAGAAAATTGAATTTTCCTGAAAAAATGTCTTTCCAAATATCCTCCGTCCCGCAATATGTCTAGGTTCGCAACTTGTTTTGAGCTCTTATTGGCGTCTATATCTTCAATCTAGAGGGAATAAAATCTCCGTCGTTTATTGAGAGTCACTGATTGTAGTGAAGACTCTTATATAGGTCTTAGTGATTTTTTGCTCGTTTTTTTTCTCCAAGAAACAGTCTTGAAATGCTCTAGTACCTACAGATGTGCGTTCATGCATATTAATGCCTTATATTTTGTTTCCTCTGGTTTCGCACAAGGTTCCGATATTATTTATGAGGACGATAAGACTCCGGTCTCAAGTTTTAAATTTCGAATGTTCATTTTTAATCCCATTTGAAACCCTTTAATAATTTTAAACATGAAAAAACTTTGGATTTTTAATTTCTTTGTTTTTCTTTATTCAACAGCATCAACTTTCGAAGTCCTCTTTGATAGTTTTTGAGTCTCTTGCTGTTTTTATGCCTATACTTGTTGTATCGCAAGTAAGGCGAAGCTCAGCTTCGTCTCTGCGTTATGTTTGCCAACAACAAAATCAGATGAATTAATTGGCACTTTAAGTTTTGCTCTGATACTGGCGATCTTGCTTCATCTAAGACTGTATTAAACATAAATATCCCTTTTTATTTTCCGATTTTGGCTAGTTTCGAATAAATTTAGCCTCTTTTGCGCGTTCATTTTGTAGCTGTTCACGTCTACTGATTTTAGTGTTTTAGTTCACTAGTTTGACACCATTAATTCCAGCTGTAAAAATTTGTTGTTTCAATTGCTGAAAGCGAGTTTTGTATTCGAGTTTGTTTTAGTTATTTTTTTCGTTGCATAATCAAGTACCACAAGTAACCATCGAAAAGTTGGGAGAGTGATACATCATGTTCAATGCCGTTTAAATCGTGATTCAAGCGACTCAGCAAAATTTTCAACAATTTCACTCATTATTGAGCGAAACCGTGGTGAATTTTTTGGTTGTTAGTGCAATTTCGAGCGAGTATTATTTGTAAGATCGAGTAATTGTTTATAATTTTTTATTAAATTCGGAGTTTTCGTTCCTGGACGTCTGTTCCGTTAATAGAACAGCATTCCAAACAACGTTTTGAAGATTTTTTAGTTGTTTTTTTCCGAAATTTTTTTTCAGATTTTTGGACTTATGGCTTTCCGTTCCTGTGTGCTAATTTACAGTGCTATTTGGTGTGGTATCGTAAGTGTTAGAAATAAATTTAAATCATTTTTTTTAGGTTTTCCCTTTTGTTCTCGGTTTTATTTGAACAAGGTTTCGCAGCTACGTGAATATTTGAACAAGGCAGTTTTTCGGGTGAATGACAGGAAAAAAGCTTTTTTCGCAATAAGTTTTTACTGAATGGATGGAGCTTTTTCGCAATAAGTTTTATTTTTACTGAATGGATGGAGCTCTTTTATTCTATTATATAGTGGTATCGTTTTGCATTTATTGGGATATCTTAGGCTCTGGAATAACGTAGTTTTTAAAGAAAAGAGTTGTGCTTTGAACCAAATGACTAGTTTTCTGTATGACTGCTCAGATTGCTTTTTCAGCTGCGTTGTCACAAAACTGGTGGTCGGTTCCAGAATCCAGTCTTCCTCAGTTCAAGGCAGACTACGTAAAATTGTACGTGCACACAATACAAAATGTTGTAACAGACATCGATAACTATCGGCCGTATATTACTTCTAGTCCATCCAATGGCATAGAGTCGATCGCAGAAGGTTACGTAAGTTCAAATCCTTATTCGGATTTCTACGGTGATACACATTTCTACGACTACAACACAGATTGCTTCGAACTGAGTCATTACCCGATCACGAGGTTTGCTTCGGAGTATGGTTTCCAATCATGGCCTTTTTATTCTACCATCAAAAAAGCATCCTCGGAACAAGAAGTGCAACTTGACAGCACGTGGTTTAATGAAAGAAACCACCATCCAAGTGGAAATGAAGAGATCTTGAGTAACATGAATCGTCATTTTGGATACAAATTCCCGACACTGTCTAATACCAGCACAGATTTTGATTGGTTTGCATATCTCAGTCAGCTTGAAAATGCACTCTGTATAAAGACAGAAACGGAGCATTACTTGAAGTATCAAAATGTTATTGGTAAGAAAGTGATTTGCCTTTAATTAATTACTTTGCTCTAAGTATTTCATTATAGCAGGATTAGCATAACAGATAGTTTATTTGTTGGCCAAGTTTTGTTTTATGTGAAAAAGATCGCATTTCCAATCCAATGCAACTAGAGATAGATTATTTGTTGGTTGAGTTTTATATTATCTGATAAAAATCGTATTTTTTTTTTCAATTCAATGCAACGGAAGAAGTTCAATTGGGAACAAAAATATGCAGGAAAGTAGTCTGCCTAACTATAAAAATTGTTATTTTTTTATTTCAGATGCTTCTGGACGAGGGAACACTATGGGCGCAATGTACTGGCAGCTGAATGATATCTGGCAAGCACCCACCTGGGCGTCCATAGACTACTATGGCAAGTGGAAGATACTCCACAACTACGCATTCCTCTTCTTCGAATCAGTTCACGTGTTCGCACAGTATGATCTCACAAGCAAGGATGTGTCGGTTTTTGTGTCTTCTAATTTGAGAGAATCTTTTGAAGCGGAATTGCATGTTTTGCTTCTCAGTGTGAAGTCGGGTAAACAGGTGCGTCGAATTAGTAGCGAAGTCATGTATTAGATATTTTCGCACTCTCTTTCTGTGGATGCCCATTTTTTCATATTTTCAAAAAACTTAGGTACGCATTTACGGTGCATCAACTTGTCGCATCAACTAATAATGAATCGATGTTTTTAGGTGAAATCATCTTCGAGTTATCACAATATTTCTTCTAACTCTGCTTCGTGGCTTGGCCAGATTGAGGTTTCAGAGTTCACAGAGGGCACTGAATGCGCATCTGAAACGCTTTTCTGTTATATATACCTTCAACTTCTTCGAGATTCTCAAGTTATTACAACGAATGAAGTATATTTCGAAGGATTTGATAACAAATCGACGTTGCCATGTGCAACTGTAGAATTAGAAGGATACAATTTGAATAGTTCAGATGGCATGGTTGCTAATGTTTCTGTTCAGTTACGGGTCTCGAAAGTGGCGCTTTTCTTCTGGATCGATCATGAACCAAAGTTCATCGGTCTCTGGATTGATAATGGAAGACATCTGGCTGATAATTACGAAAGAAAACCATCCGATGAAGTCTTAGTGTCACGAGAATTCATTTTCTACAAACCCGTTGTTGCAGATAAAGTGTCTGAATTTATATCTGGTCTTAAATTTTTCTATTTGAATAGTCACCCAAATTGTATCTAGCTTAAAATTTTTATAATTAAATGAAGATGAAATCTGTTGGCTAAGTTTTTGATTACTCTTATAAAAAATCAAGAATGTCACTATTTGAATAGTTTCAAAGTGTCAATGAACGACTTAAAGACACTTAGTTAGTTTTTGTTATTTTTCCAGGAAAGTCTTGAGGTTTAATTTTTTGTGGTTTGAATCTTGAATTATTTCCCCAAAATTTGCCAAATGGAGGGCAAACTACGCTGTCTTAAAACAAATTTTCAAATGGCGCTAAAAACGGGATTGAGTTTTGGTTTTGAAGGTAGATTCCCAACGGAATAGAAAATAGCGATTAATCCAATTTTCTCAAGCTGGGTTAGTTTTTTCTGGTAAGATCAATCATAGGAAAGGTCAATCATAAAGGATTCTTGAACTTTAGATTTTCGAATGTAATTTTCCGGTTTTTTGCAATTATAGACTTTTCCTTGTGTCTGTTTTTTTTTTGTAGAAAAAATTTAATTGAAACTTTTGCATTCATTTTTATGAAATTTGTTTTTGTTCCGACTTTCGATGCGAAAGTAACGGAATATTTGTGCTCGGGGTGGGTTTTTTCTTCAGACAAATTTCGACTTCTTAACTAGCCATTTTTGACGGAAATTTTGTCCTGAGTTTAAATTTGAAAAGATATTTCAACTGTGATCATTTTTCGTAGAGTTACGGGGGTTTAAAGATTGCCGTTTTGGCCAATTTGGGACAATTAACGCGCGATATATTTCGCGCTATTAACGCGTAAGCGAGTTTTAATCCGTCTTAGAAATCGTTCCAAATGGGTTGGAAGAACCTTATTTGCCATAATTGATTTGTTACAAGAAGCGAAATCTATCCTTTTGTACTTTATATGGCGTGTGGGGGGATGTTTTTTTTAAAAAAAATTCAAATTTTGGAAGAAAATTTTTTCAATTTGTTTTATTACATTTATTTTTTTATGTTATTACTGCTCCATAAACCTTAAAAGGCAGTCGGAACATTCAGGGCTTCGCCCTGATACGAGCAGTCTTGTTTCATTTTTATCATTGTTATAGCAAATACCGGAAAGAGATTTTGCCTATGATTAATTGCTCCTGTAGGGTATGCAGGTTGTTTGGGTACAAAATTTTAAGAAAAGTATTTAAGTTCACTTTGGAGCGTTTGGATATTGATGTCCTGACGTACATTTTTTATCGGTTCCATCTATTGCTTATGAGAACGAAATGAATGGAGTTAATTTAGTATCTTGATTCCTCCTTATGTTGCAGGTAATTGATTTTATATAACAATTGCAAAAGAAAATCATTTTTTTTTTCAGCCTTCGATTTCTTAAAAACAGAGTGTATTCAAGTTTTTTGTTTGAGACACATAGTTTTTGATTTTCAGCTTTTAATTTTCTATCGCAAGAGGTGCGAGTTCAGCTTCACCTCTGTGTTGTATTTAAGGTGAGGTTTTTAGGTTGGCAGAGACTTTGCTCCAAAATATAATTCGAGACCAGCTGCTCATTCCGGCAACCGTTGAAATCGCTCTTAGGTAGCCGTTTTTGGCCTTTATGGGAATTATGAACAAACGAGTCATTTTTTTCAGCGACTACTCTTAGGATGTCTTCTAAATATTTACTTTTGTACTTCTTTTGTACTTCTTTTGTACTTTATATGGCGTGTGGGGGGATGTTTTTCTTAAAAAAATTCAAATTTTGGAAGAAAATTTTTTCAATTTGTTTTATTACATTTATTTTTTTATGTTATTACTGCTCCATAAACCTTAAAAGGCAGTCGGAACATTCAGGGCTTCGCCCTGATACGAGCAGTCTTGTTTCATTTTTATCATTGTTATAGCAAATACCGGAAAGAGATTTTGCCTATGATTAATTGCTCCTGTAGGGTATGCAGGTTGTTTGGGTACAAAATTTTAAGAAAAGTATTTAAGTTCACTTTGGAGCGTTTGGATATTGATGTCCTGACCTACATTTTTTATCGGTTCCATCTATTGCTTATGAGAACGAAATGAATGGAGTTAATTTAGTATCTTGATTCCTCCTTATGTTGCAGGTAATTGATTTTATATAACAATTGCAAAAGAAAATCATTTTTTTTTCAGCCTTCGATTTCTTAAAAACAGAGTGTATTCAAGTTTTTCGTTTGAGACACATAGTTTTTGATTTTCAGCTTTTAATTTTCTATCGCAAGAGGTGCGAGTTCAGCTTCACCTCTGTGTTGTATTTAAGGTGAGGTTTTTAGGTTGGCAGAGACTTTGCTCCAAAATATAATTCGAGACCAGCTGCTCATTCCGGCAACCGTTGAAATCGCTCTTAGGTAGCCGTTTTTGGCCCTTATGGGAATTATGAACAAACGAGTCATTTTTTTCAGCGACTGCTCTTAGGATGTCTTCTAAATATTTACTTTTGTACTTCTTTTGTACTTCTTTTGTACTTTATATGGCGTTTGGGGGGATGTTTTTCTTAAAAAAATTCAAATTTTGGAAGAAAATTTTTTCAATTTGTTTTATTACATTTATTTTTTTATGTTATTACTGCTCCATAAACCTTAAAAGGCAGTCGGAACATTCAGGGCTTCGCCCTGATACGAGCAGTCTTGTTTCATTTTTATCATTGTTATAGCAAATACCGGAAAGAGATTTTGCCTATGATTAATTGCTCCTGTAGGGTATGCAGGTTGTTTGGGTACAAAATTTTAAGAAAAGTATTTAAGTTCACTTTGGAGCGTTTGGATATTGATGTCCTGACCTACATTTTTTATCGGTTCCATCTATTGCTTATGAGAACGAAATGAATGGAGTTAATTTAGTATCTTGATTCCTCCTTATGTTGCAGGTAATTGATTTTATATAACAATTGCAAAAGAAAATCATTTTTTTTCAGCCTTCGATTTCTTAAAAACAGAGTGTATTCAAGTTTTTTGTTTGAGACACATAGTTTTTGATTTTCAGCTTTTAATTTTCTATCGCAAGAGGTGCGAGTTCAGCTTCACCTCTGTGTTGTATTTAAGGTGAGGTTTTTAGGTTGGCAGAGACTTTGCTCCAAAATATAATTCGAGACCAGTTGCTCATTCCGGCAACCGTTGAAATCGCTCTTAGGTAGCCGTTTTTGGCCCTAATGGAAATTATGAACAAACGAGTCATTTTTTTCAGCGACTGCTCTTAGGATGTCTTCTAAATATTAAACGATTTTTTTCCCCAGGAGTTACTGAAAAGATGACAGTTGAACCTATGAGTGTGCTAGATTTTTTTCTTACTCTCTGGTTTTTTAAGTAGCCGAATATTAGATGGTTTTACTGGCAGGTTTTTTTATTCAGCTAGTTTTACTGAATAGTTTTCAGAGAGCAGTTCTATTTAACCTTGCGATTAGCAAACGTATTACCATCGGGTACTAGACTCTTGAGTACCTTGATGTACCTTGGTTCACAATGCGTTCAAAATCTGAAGCGTCTTTTGCACATTTAGCCCCGCGGTAACGATTTTGCTTGGGACGGCAAAGGTGGGTTCGAATCTGACCAGGACCAATTTTTTTGAACCGGTAAATGTCCAGGTTGAAAAAAAATTTCGGCCTATTATTTGTCTGCTTATGTTTTGTCGGCTTATGTGCCACATCTAGGAATCATTTATTTTAACTGCAAACAATTTTTACTGCAGTTGTTTTTAGCATATTGAAAACCCGGCCGAATTGAACTTTTTTTTCACTATGTTCGTAATTTAGGCAGCTCGATTTGTTAAAATTTCACTTTTTTTTTATTTTGTCTTTATCGGTTTAATAATTTTCGGATTAACAAATATCGACTTAGTGGCCTCTTATTGCGTCGTTACGACCGAAAAAAGTTTTTGTGCTGGTGTCTGTGCTCTGAGGGTAAAAGGGACGTAGCATTTTTATAAGTTTAGATTTTTTTGAATGTCTTTCGGCATAAAGGGTTTCTGCTTAGGTTTTTTCGGCTTTGTTTTTTGCTTGGTAATTATAAATTAAAATCCAATCAATTATCCGGCGTATCTGGTGTAGAGGCAAAACAACAGCTTGAGACGGCAAAGGCTTGAGGATCGAATCCGGCCGGGCCCTTTCTTGCAAATTTGAGTTTTTGTGCTTTTTCGGATTATCGTCCGTCTTTTTATCGTCTTGGTTCCCGTAGCCCGATGTTCCAGCTTTATTCCCAGTTGCTGTACAAGACGACTAAATCTGGGAGTTCGATTCCAGCTGAGAACTGTTTTTTTTGCAAATAGAAACTTTTGGCTAATTTAGATTATTGTCTGTCAGCTTTTTTTGTCTGCTTAGTTCCACAGAAAGGAGAAAAGATTTTTTTGAAAACTTGCCGTCTTTATAGAATTCCCAAAGCTCTGCGTAGAGTTTCTAATGATACAGGCCATTTTGTTCCGGACATTTTATACTTTTGTTGCAATTTTTATTGACAGAAACGATTTTTTATTGACAGAAACGAGTTTTTTTTTTTTTCATTTGTTTCCCGTTCGATTTTAATCATAGTGTCACACCTTGAAAAAAAATTTGTGAAAAACAGCTCTGATTTAAATTGTAGATTTTCCCTAAATGTAAAATTGTCGCATGACTAAGTTTTTTGGTTGCTAATTGAAGCCATCCGTTTGCTGAAACTCCTCTCAAAGTTAACGGCCAAATTTTGCCAAGCGTCGCCATTTGTTACTATTTTACTACTTTCATTTTACCTGAAGGTGTGGAGTAATTAAATGGAGAGCTTTTTTCTCAGTCAAAACTGAATCTTGATGTTAAGTCTAAAAACTTCGAGGGCTAACTAACCGAGCTCCGTTCAAATAGATCAGTCTTACGAAAAATTACAATTTTTTTGAAGATCAGCAATCGCCAAATTTAAGAAAAAATGAAAAATGCTGAAACAACCAAAAATGTTGATTTCAATGGTGCCTTAATAATATAACATACGCTAGCTTGCGAGCATTGCGCGATACGGTCATTATAGCATAAGTCTCATATTTTATTGATAAGTGTTGTTGGGACTTTAACAATAACAAGACTGCTCGTATATCAGGGCAAAGCCCTGAATGTTCCG